AAGGGACATCAGGTCTACCCATTGAAATGAATGGGGATTTTAAGGACATCAGGTCTACCCATTGAAATGAATGGGGATTACAGGGACATCAGGTCTACCCATGGAAAGCAATGGGGTTTAAAAGGACATCAGGTGTACCCATTGAAAGGAATGAGGATTTTTTAGGACATCAGGTCTACCCACTAAAATTAATGGGGGATTTTTTTAGGGCACCACGTCTACTCATTGAAATGAATTGGAATTTTACGGACATCAGGTCTACCCATTAAAATGAACAGGGCTTAAAGGGACATCAGGTCTACCCTTTTGAAACAATGGGGACTTAAAGTACACCAGGTCTACCAATTTCAATAAATAGGGACTTTCGGGACACCAGGTCTACCTATTGAAATGAATGTGGATTGAAGGGACACCAGGTCTACCCATTGAAATGAATGGGGATTTTTACGGACATCAGGTCTACCCATTGAAAGTAATTGGGTGTAGAGGGACATCAGGTCTACCAATTGAAACCAATAGGGATTTTAAAAACACCAGGTCTACCCATTGAAATGAATGGGGAATTTAGGGACACCAGGTCTACCAGTTGAAATAAATTGGGGTTTTAAGGGACATCAGGTCTACCCATTGAAATGAATGCAGGTTTTAGGTACACCAGGTCTACCTATTTAAGACACGCCCACAATGGTGAAAAACATTTAGGCCACGCCCATTGCAGTTTAACCACGCCCGGTTTTATTTAAGCCACGCCCACTGAGTTAAAATCATGCTCATTTGCATATAAGGTCTCAAACCCCGCCCTTTTTCCCAAATTGCTCCGATTGTCCCCAAAATCTTCCAATTTTTCCCCAAACCCCACCCATTTTTTCAATTTTTCTCCAGTTTTTCCCCAATTTCCTCCAATTTTTCCCCAATTTCCTCCAAGCCCCGCCCTGTTTTCAAGCCCCACCCCTTTTTCCCAAGCCCCGCCCATTTTTCCCAAACTCCGCCTCTTTTTTCCAGAATTTTCCAATTTTTCCCCAATTTTTCCATTTTCCCAAGCCCCGCCCCTTTTTCCACTTTTCCTTCAGTTTTTCCCCAATTTCCCCCATTTTTTTAATTTCTCACCCCCATTTTTTCCAAACCCCGCCCATTTTTCCCCAAGCTCCGCCCATTTTTCCCAAGCCCCGCCCCTTTTCCCCAAGCCCCGCCCCTTTTCCCCAAACCCCGCCCACTTCCTTAATTTTTCCCCAATTTCCTCCAATTTTTTCCCAATTTCCCCCATTTTTTCCAAGCCCCGCCCCTTTCCCCAAGCCCCGCCCCCTTTTTCAATTTTTCTCCAATTTCCTCCATTTTTTCCCCAATTTCCTCCAATTTTCCCCGATTTCTTTGAATTTTTCCCCAATTTCCCCATTTTTCCCAAGCCCCGCCCCTTTTCTCAAGCCCCACCCCTTTTTCCCAAAGCCCCGCCCCCTTTTTCAAATTTTCTCCAATTTCCTCCAATTTTTTCCCAATTTCCTCCAATTTTTTTTTAAATTTCCCTCATTTTTCCCAAACCCCGCCCTTTTTTCCAAGGCCCCGCTCCTTATTTCCATTTTTCCCCAATTTCCTCCAATTTTTCCCCAATTTCCTCCAATTTTCCCCTGAATTTTCCATAACCACGCCCCTTTTTCCCAAAACCCCACCCCCTTTTTCAATTTTTTCCCGATTTCCTCCAATTTTTCCCCAATTTCCCCCAAGCTCCGCCCCTTTTCCCAGAAACCCCGTCCTTTTTTCCAATTTTTCCCCAATTTCCTCCAATTTTCCCCCAATTTTCCCCAAGCCCCGCCCCTTTTTCCTTGACTGGCAGCTCAGGGGGGCGTGGCCGGGGGCGGAGCTCTG